CCCCCCCCCCCCAAAAAAAAAAAAAAAAAAAAAGCTAAATTTTGTTATCAATAAATTGTTTCAGGCTCTTCTGTCTGGGTGCTCTGCGGGGGGGTTAGCTTCTATATTACACTGTGATGAGTTTCGGAATTTATTTCCAAGTAGTACAAAAGTGAAGTGCCTGGGTGATGCTGGATTATTCTTGGATGCGTAATTACCAAATCTTTAACACTATTTTTTTTCCTGTGAAGCTTATATTTGTATATGCTCATCACTTTAGTTTTTTGTACTTAACATCTTTATGGTGGTCCTTTCTGGAATTGTAGGGTTGATGTATCTGGTAAACGCTCCCTTAGGACTTTGTTTGAAGGTGTGGTTAGTTTGCAGGTACTTATGAAATCATAGTTTTTGCTTCTCATTTTAGGTCTACCATCTCCTGCAATTGTTCTAATCATCATGGCTTTGGACGAATATTACATGAGTTAATGTACTGATTCAGGTGGAACAGCAAAATTTAACAACATTCAGGTATAATTGAGTCATGGAATAACATCCAATCTAGGTGAAGTTTAAGCTCTATGTTGCCCACGGGACACAACTCTAGACAGGAGATATAGAAGTTGAGGTTTTTAGATGGTACATCTAGCAAAATATTATCCCTTCTGTTTGGCTTACAACAATTCTTCCAATCATAAGAATAAATCCAATTAGTTGGTTGGCTGCGCACCTAGTCAATTTTTGATCAAGATATTTTCTAGCAAACCTCAGAGAGGATCTGGGCATCAATGCTTCAAGTGCATAAAATTAACTTTGTTGTGTGTAAGCAAATGAACTATTTGGGATCTCTGCAACATGTCAACCAAAGAAATCATATGAAGGAGGCTGCATAAAAGAGAAATTTGAGGAGGAAAGAAAAGTTCCCTGTTGAAGAGCTTTATGCTCAAGTTCGTACTGCATCTTCTAAGTCTTTTTTTTTGGGTCTAATCTTTTAAGTCTGACTTGAGCTATTGACAAGTTATTGACGCTATGCTTGTCAAGTAAATGACAGGTTTTTTGGGCTTCTAAATATTTCATCTTGAACCATAGTCTTATTTCACATCCTTTTCATGCTTTCTCACAGAAATTTTGTCTAATTTCAACAGGGGGTGCAAAAAAACCTGCCACACACTTGTACTAATCACCTCGATCCAACTTCGGTAAGACTTCCACAATGATTTATCTCATAAGTTGACTGATTTTAGGGGATAGGATAGGAAATATACAAAATTCGGTTTCGTTGCTCTCAAGTTCATTTTGACTTTGTCTAGCTTTCTTCCTTCTCAGTGCTTCTTTCCCGAGAACTCAATTGCAGCGATCAAAACTCCTATGTTTCTTCTCAATGCAGCCTATGATTCATGGCAGGTAATTGTCATTTCTGTAGATTGCTGCATTTACCAGTCGGCAACTGTGGATTTATGATCAAGAATCAAAGTTAAACGAATCAGTAAATGAATATTGAAATTCCTTTGTTTCAGACTTGAAATTTCAAAATTTTTCTCTGTTTCTACACTGTTTTCGAAACAATTTTGAAACATATCCGAAGCGTTTTCATTTTGAGCTGAGCAAAACTATGCCTGAAATGAAATTTTGATCCTTGTTTACGATGGCAAACATTATGTTATAAATCTCCATCTGGTCCACTTATATTTCAGGTCCAGGCCAGCCTAGCTCCCCCGTCAGCTGATCCTTATGGCGTCTGGCATGACTGTAAAATGAACCATGCTCGTTGTTCAGCCTCACAGATCCAATTTCTTCAAGGTTTTTTCCCCATAAAACATAAATTACTTGAGCTGGATTTCAAATTGCCTATGATGAATTTATGAAGTTACTCGCATATTTTCTTTATTCTATGGGGCAGGCTTCAGGAATCATATGCTGAATTCAATAAGAGCCTTCTCAATGTACAAACAAAACGGACTGTTTATAAATTCATGTTTTGCTCACTGCCAGTCAGAGAGGCAGGATACATGGTTTTCTGATAATTCTCCCCTCATTGGCAACAAGGTATACTATTGATTTTGTTTTGTTTTTCAATGCTCAGATAATGTGAATACTCCTTAGATTCGTAAGCTAGCATGTATTTCCACCTCAACCAATGTTCTTTCCTGCTCTCTAATTGCCTTTGTCATCAACTTTGCTTAGTCATTCATCCTTACTTGGGCAGTCAATTGTCTTCATTGCACGTCCGAAATAATTATGGATAACCATTTGCTAACCTTATCCTCAATTTTTGATTCCTTGCTCTCGGAGATGCAATAATTTCTTTTTTGAAACTTTTTTATTGTGGCGCTCCTAGATCTCAATCCTCATTGTTCTACTACAGTTGTCACTTGTCTCACAATTTTCGTTTAACAAGACTGCCGACATTGCAAAAGCATTTTTTGGCACTTGTCATCCCTCTCTTTCTGGGCGATGCATTTCCCCCCTTTTTAAATGGTTTATCTGAAACATTGAAGATCATCGCTTTTGGAAATCTGTTGTCCATCAACCTTCTTTATTTCCCCTTTTATCTGCTCATAAACCTTATTTTAAACTACATATTGCATTTTATATGCTAGTTGTGCTTACCCTAGAAAATCTTAGATTTAATAGCCCTCTCACTAGTTACAAAATACTACCCGATCAGACAGAACTATATGCATGCATATGATGAAAATATTGAGAATTCTATTACCTTCTGCACAGAGACTAATGCAATCAGCTTATGAAGAACAGAAAAATCCAATACAAAGGAGAGTCAGAGAGCTAGATCAAGCTAAAAGACTAACTACTCAATCCCAAAGAGAGGAAGAGCCTCTCTTAGTACAAAGGGATCTTGTACATCTAGGTTCTCTTTATCCTGCAAGACCATTTCAAGTAACAGATGTAGGAGTTGGATATGTGCCTGGGGATGTATATATCATTTGCGTCACATAATAAATATATGCTGTTGGGGTCTTTCCTAGAGGCTTGACATTAAGAGTACTTGGCGCAAATGCTTTGACGCTAGATTTTAATTAAGGGTTCTTGTGTGAGAGGGCACAATGGTGGAATAGGATTAGTGTAGTTGACCCTAAAAATAATGAAACAATGCTTTGTTGAGTTGAGTTGAGTTCTTGTGGGAGAGAGTGATGAGTTCCGACGAGTCAAATAATTGTAGAAAGAAATTAGTTCTTGAGATTTAGTGCCTTGTGTGTATGTAGCAATGCTTGAGAGCTAAATTGTCAGAAGTGAAGATGTTGTTGAAGCATCCAAATCAAACCAGTGGATGGAGAGATCCACAAGGCTCGTATTTTTTCTGTTTTTATTTTTTTGGTGCCTTGGTGTCGCAGTAAAGGTTGGGCAACTAAGGAGCTGATTTCAGGTTTTGAATCCCATGAATTAATGCTTATACAAAGGGTAGCAGGTGCAGTTATGATTCTAGATATGTATTCACACGACTTGTATGGATTTGGTTCCATACGACTCTAAAGAAGCTGATTGTCTTATGTGTAAACTTTGATTAAATAATAAAGAAAGAAACTGGAAGAAAGAAATATTATTGAGGCATAACTAGCCAGGACAATCTTAAACGAAAAATACATATAAGAAGTCTTTATATAGTAAAACAAATGACTAAGTTAGGGCAACATAAAAGAAAACAAAATGACTAAACTACCCCCAAGTCTAAATATTTTAACTAATCTAACACCCTCCCTCAAACTCATGATGTGGTAGCAGGAAAACATCAAGAGTTTGCCAAGAAAAAAACGAAAGCGACTTCTGGAACATGGAGTCCCTCCAACACATATAGTCCTCCCTTTCTATGGCCTGTCCCAATCAGTTTGTTGGACTATGGATCCTGAAGGACCTGAGGTAAATAAACNAAGCGACTTCTGGAACATGGAGTCCCTCCAACACATATAGTCCTCCCTTTCTATGGCCTGTCCCAATCAGTTTGTTGGACTATGGATCCTGAAGGACCTGAGGTAAATAAACCTATTGAAGAAGATACTGTAAGAGCACCAGGTTGATGAAGAGAGATTAACTTTTGCAACTGATTAGTAAGCATAGTTAGGCTGGGGGTTCGTGAGAAGGACTCATCCACCGGTGTTACAACTGCCGCTAAATGATGATCTTGAGGTTGAAATAACTGAATAGCTGTCCCCTTAGCATTTTTGTTCACTAGTTTAGAACATTGAGCCTTTCAGTGATCCTTTTCATGACAAAAATTACACTCATTTGAAGCTACACGACCTCGATATTTATTTTGTGAATGAGAAATTACCGTGGGAGGCACAACCAATACAACCTGATTAGGCAATGGAATAAGACCTTTCCCAGAAAGAGTCTTAAGATGAACTTCTTCGGTCAGAAGCTCATTCACTACTGCATCAACCGAGGGAAGCGGATTACGATGGAGAATAGAACCACGAAGTCCCTCAAAGTCATCCTTGAGGGCCATCAAAAATTGCACCAACTGCTGCTCCTCTCTAAAAGTGCGATATATCATATGAGTATTTAGTTCTAGTAGGTTCAGCAAGCGCTAGTTGATCCCAATATCCAGTCATAATTGAGTTGAACTCCTGGATGTTCTTATCATCCTAACGTGCAGTNATAGAACCACGAAGTCCCTCAAAGTCATCCTTGAGGGCCATCAAAAATTGCACCAACCGCTGCTCCTCTCTAAAAGTGCGATATATCATATGAGTATTTAGTTCTAGTAGGTTCAACAAGCGCTAGTTGATCCCAATATCCAGTCATAATTGAGTTGAACTCCTGGATGTTCTTATCATCCTAACGTGCAGTTCGAATTTCATGCTCTAGTTGATACTTCTTTGCAAAATTGGACTGAACAAATAAGGTAGTTAAATAATTTCAAATCTCTTTGACTGTATTAAACTTAGTCAAATGAACACCAATGGTTTGATCAACTAAGTTGTTAATCCAAGTGATGATTTTAGCGTTGTTGATTTTTCAAGTATTCTTTAAGTTAACATATTTCTCGACTTTAGGATCAGGTGGAGCTGACGAATTACTACTAACATAACTCCACATATCCTTACCCAACAAGAAATTTTTCATAACATAAGCCCAATATACATAGTTCTCACCTTTTAACTTGACACTGATAGTCTGAAGAGAATCAGAATTTTCACCGGCCATAATACCCAAATCAAGCAATTCAAAACAAATATTAAAGTAAACAAATAGCCCAATAACAAAACAAAATCCAGTAGCCCAAAGCAAAAAACAACACCCAAATAGCTAATAAGGGCCCAAAAGTCCAAAAGTCAAAACCCAAGCATAGTAGAAGAAAGAATAGTCAAAGCAACAACAACCTAAATTGACAGAAGAATAGCCAAACCAAAAGTAGTCAAAATCAACTAACCCAAAGGATTGGGGTTGTCCAACAAAAAAAAAAATCACTAGCAACAATGCCCAACAAAACCAAAGCCCAACAAGAAAAGAAGAAAAGCCAAACCAACAATCAAATGGAGAGAAGCCCAAATCAGCACCAACCCAAATCAACAAACCCAAATAAATTATGATTTCTTACCTTACAACAAGAAGCACCAACAGAAGAGAAGAGGCAGCAAACCAAATGAAGAAGAAATAACCAGACTAGCAACTAGAAGAAGTAGCCACACCTTGCAACAAAAAGCACCAGTAGAAGAGAAGAGGCAGCAAACCCAGTAACCAGAACCAGTGCAACGATTGGTTCAGTGCAGAAGACGCAACAAGAAGAAGCACCAACAAACACCCTAACACACTGCCGACAAAAAACAGACAAACACCACACAGAGAGAAAGAGAGAGAACACCCTCAAACCCTAACCCTGGCCCCACTACGAATCTTGCTTCAAACCCCATCGATGGCGTTGCCCGTCGTTCTTCGCTAATTCGATCCTCTTCTTTGCTCCTAATCGTTAGAATGACGACAGGTTCTCTGGACGAACAAACGATGGGGTTGAAGCAAACGATGCAGCCTCTAGACGAGAACGAGACCACCCAAGTCTTCAAAAAGCTTTTCAAATTCATCGGCAACAATCTCAAGAACATCATTGAAAACCCATCTCACGAAGTCCCTGAAACAAACCCATGTCGCTATTGCTTTCGTTTGCAAAAAAGCAGTCCTTGGATTTGGGATCATGTTGTTCGATTTAGGTGGAGTTGATAACTTGGCTCTGATACCATGTAAACTTTGATTAAATAATAAAGAAAGAAACTAGAAGAAAGAAATATTTGAGGCATAACTAGCCAGAACAATCTTAAACAAAAAATACATATAAGAAGTCTTTATATAGTAAAACAAATGACTAAGCTAGGGCAACATAAAAGAAAAAAAAATGACTAAACTACCCCTAAGTTTAAATATGCTAACTAATCTAACATTATGAAGTTTGAAAACTCTGATTCAGACAGACATATTTCTATTGTTAGGATGTCTTTCATGTTTAATATCTTAGATGATGTAATTTCTGCAAGTTGATTTTCATTATATTTCATTTTGGAAAAAGGATGAATGAATAAGCAACTGGCTTACAAGGAAAACCTGAATGACAGTTGCAATTGGTCGGAAGCAAAACAAGTCTTTACTCTCTTCCCTCGCTGATGAAGGGTTCTTTAAGCTGTAATTTGGTTTGCATATGTTTTCATGTAACGAAATTGTTAGGTGTTCACACCCCCTTGTCTCTCTTGTAAAATTTTCAAAATGTTTGTGAAATTATTAAGTTAATTGAACATAAAATAAATAATACGAAAAGTTGAATGAGAGAAAATTTTGGAGATGGTGTAAATGCAGAATATTGTGGATGACTACTATGCATGAATGGTGTCAACTATGTACAATAATAACGCATAATACTAAATAGTAATGCATAGCGCCAAATAGTAATCAATACAATATATTATTGTGCATGAATAGTAAAAAATAATAATTGCATTTAATTGGGCAGTTGAAAAACTGCATTCTTAGCATCCGTCAATTTGCCTCTTTTGCCTATAAAAAGAATTACTTGGGACAAATGTGATGTGCAAAAAAACAGAAAGAAAGGTACGAATACCATTAATTAATATTTCATGTG